GTAGATTAGAAAAAATATGCAGGGATCTAACAAAAAATGTGAAAAGCCTCTATACTGAAAGCCAAAACCAGTACTTAGAAATATTAAAGATGATCTATATAACTGGAGGAATATGTCTGTTCATTGACATGGGCACTCAATATTGTAAAGATTTGATTTCTCTCCAAATGGATCTATGGTTTTAATACAATCCAGTCATAACAAATATTCTTGTGTAATTTGATAATCTAATTCTAAAATGTATATGGAAATTCAAAGTTTCAAAAGTAGCCAAGATATTTTTGAGGAAGAAAGCTGGAGGATTTATCTTACTAGAAGTTAAGTATGAAGCTTTAGAAATTAAGGCAGTGAGCTGCTGGCGTTAGGATAGACCCCACTCCTCCACAAAAAAGAAATAGTCCAGGGCCGGCTCCGTGGCTTAGCGGTTAAGTGCACGCGCTCTGATGCTGGCGGCCAGGGTTCGGATCCCGGGAGCGCCCCGAGGCACCACTTCTCCGTCCAACGTGAGGCCGAGTCCCACGTACAGCAACTAGAAGGATGTGAACCTATGACATACAACTATCTACTGGGGCTTTGGGGGGAAAAAACTGAATAAATAAAAAAAAAAAAAAGAAATAGTCCAAAAACAGATTCATACAAATATATTCACCCCATTTATGATAAATGTGATACTGCAGTGTAGTAGGGAAAATATTTTTTCACTAAATAATATTGGATAAATTGGTTATCCATTTAAGAAAAATAAATGTTGACTTCCTATCTTAAAGTATACATAAAAATCAATTCTAGATGAATTGAAGATCTAAACATGAAAAGTCAAACAACAAAGCGTTTTATTAGAAAACATAGGAAAATGTTTTCATGACTTTGATGTTGTAAAAGATTTTTTAAATAGGTTATAAAAAGTAATATCCATAAAATGAAACAATTGATAAATTGTGTTATAGCAAAATAAGAATATCTGTCCATCAAAGGCTTCATTATGAGCATAAAATGGCAAGCTATAGAGTAGGAGAAAATATTTGCAATATACAAATATTTATTATATCCAAAATATAATAAAAGGACAGATAATAGAGATATGGCAAAATATTTGAACAAGTATTTAAAAAAGAAGGATATCCAAGTGGTCAATAAATAAATGAAAATCATTCAACTTCATTAGCCATAAGAGAAATGCAAATTAAAACCGCAATTGGTATTTTTATTTTTAAGTTTGCCATACTATTACCCACCAGAGTGACTTGGCTAAAATGAAAAAGACAGACAACATGAAGTGCTGTCAAGGATGCAGGGCAATTAGAACTCTCACACACTGCTCATGGGAGTATGAAATTGGTACAATCATTGTGAATAATCATTTGGTGGTGTCCCAAATTTGAATGTGAACATGGATAAACTATGACTTAAAAATTCTCCTCTAGGTGAATGACAAAACTGTTTATGTATGTCCGTGAAAATATAGGTACAAGTATGTTCATAGTCCAAAACCTCAAACAACTTAATGTCCATAACAATAACATGGATCAATATATTCTAGCATAGTCATAGAACAGAATTCTCTACAGCAATGACAATGAATAAACTGAATGAATGAACCACATACAACGTCATTGATCATTTCACACACATAATATTTCATAAAGAAAGCCAGGCACAAAGAGTACACACTAAGTGACTCCATTTCTATAAAATTTAAAATCAGGTAAAATCAATCTATAGCTTTTGAAATCATATAGTTAATGTCTTTGTACTCAAATGGCATAAAGGAGACTACTAGGGTACTGTTAATATTCTGTTTTCTTATTTAAGCACTTGTTGCACAGGTGTGTTCTCTTTGTGAACATTCAAAAAGCTATGTACTTATCATTTGTAAAATTTTCTGTGTGCATGTTATATTTCAAAAAAGTTTACTCAAACTTTCTTCCAAAAGAAAACAAACCTATAAAAAAGATAAAGTGACAACGAGAGTGCAAGAAGAGAAATTATAGCCAAATTTTACCTAAAAATAGATTCAAGAATTCTAAAATAATTAGAAAATTTATCTTAGCAGTTTATTAAAACAAATACAACATGACTAAATAGGGATTTCCCCAGCTATGCAAAGGGTTTATCAATGAGAAACAAAGGGGGAAAATGATTTTAGGGAAATTTGTACAGGAACATCAGCTGAGTCTGTAAGTTTAATTTAAAACAAATAGGGCATAATGTTAAGATTTTATAAGGTTAGGCAATGAGTACACAGGTGGTTAGCATATTGTTTTCTATTTTTTTCTGTATCTTTGAAATATTTCACAATGAAATACAGAAAAAGGAGCTGGCCCCAAGGCCTAGTGGTTAAGTTCACTGCACTCTGCTTTGGCAGCCCTGGTTTGGTTCCCAGGTGTGGACCTACTCCTCTCGGTGGTGGCCATGCCGTGGTGGCAACCCACATACCAGATAGAGGAAGATTGGCAGCAGATGTTAGCTCAGGGAAAATCTTCCTCAAGCAAAAAGAGGAAGATTGACAACAGGTGTTAGCTCAGGGCGAATCTTCCTCAGCAAAAAAACCCTCAAAAAACAAAAACAGAAAAATCTCCACAAATTATAATTTATTTATATAATTATATTAATTAATATGTTAATAGTACATCCTATTATGGGAATAGATGAAAAATCAATTGATATTTCAATAGATGCATAAAAATATTCAATAAAATTAAACATTTATTTTTGGTAAATATATTCTGCAAATTAGAGGGGAAGTCCTTAAATTTGATGAGGCAAGTATTCCAAATTCTACAGTGTATATATAATCAACTATTAGGATTATAAAGGTATTCTCATTAAAATAAAGAACAAGGAAAGGATGCTTATTATCTTTTTTCCTTATTCAACCTCATCCTGAAGGTCTGAGCCAATGTATAAGAAAACACAATAAAAAAGAAGTGATATAAATATTGGAAGGAAATAAACATTTCCTTTCTGCAGACAATATGTTTTCCTCCAAGGATAATCTAAAAGAGTCTGTAGATAAATTATTAGAACTAAAATAAGAGTTTGGTAAGGTTTCTAGACACAAAGATCAACAGCTTTACACTGGTAATAAGCAAATAGAAAAGACTATAAAACATTCCAATTCACAAAAGCACAATACTGCAAGTCACCTATGAATCAACCTAACAAAAGATTTCTCTGGGAAAAAAATCACAAAACATTATTGAGGAACATAAAAGAAGACCTAAATAAATATCATATTTTTGGGTTGGATAAAGAAATACTATTAGCACTGTCAAAATTAGTTAATAAATTAAAAAGATTCTGAATGAAATCATAACTGGGATTTCTGCGGAACCCTACAAGCTAATCCGATTCATTATTTATATGGAGACCAAAAGGCCAAGAACACATCAAAATAATTCTGAACAAGAACAAGGACTTGGACCTATTCAATATCATACTTTCTTTTACTACATAGTAGTTAAGGCTATGGTACAGTGCAGGGATATAAAAATAGACCAATGGAATATACTAGAGAGATCAAAAACAGACTCACATGTATGTATATTGATATATGATGAAGGTTATGTTACAAATCAATAAGATAAGGAATTAAGTCATAAAATGTTCTGGATAAATAGTTATCCACGTGGAACGGGGATAAAATTGGATCTATACCCTATATAATTCACAAAGATTATTCCCAGTTGGAGTAAAGAGCCGGGAAAGAGTTCTTAAAGAAGACACATTAAAGCACCAACTAAAAGGAAAAGGTTGATATGCTGTTATTACATTTAATTTGAATACCTCTATTAAACAAATGACATCATAAATAAAGTTAAAAGCCAAGCACAACCAATTAGTACCAGTTTCCAGTATACAAGAACTACTAATCAATAAGAAATAGACAAATAATCCATTAGGAAAGTGGTCAAGCAGTAACTCACAGAAGTGGAAAGCCAAAAGCTCAGTTATGAAAAGGTGCACACACTCAGTGACAGTGCAAATAGAGATCACACAAGCACTGGCTAAGCACTAAGAAACTAGAACTCTCACACGCTGCTGGCAGAAGTGTAAATTGGTACAACCACTTTTGAGATCATTTTGTCAATATTTAGGTAACTTCAAAATGAATATACTCTCTGATCCAGCTATTCTAGTCCAGGTAAATACCTTAGAGAAACTCTAGCTCATAGACAGAGGGAGCTGTGTACAAGAATGTTCACAGTAGTATTGTTTGTAACAAGATAAAAGAAAACAACTAGGTTTTCATCAAGTGGAGAATGAGTACTTTACATTGTCTCTGCAATGAAAAGGTTAACAGTAGTTTCAATGAATGAAGTAGAAAACATCAATAAATCACAAAACTATAGAGTTGAGTGAACAAAGCAAGTTGCAAAAAATGATCTGTACAGTATGACATTTAATAATCTTTGAACATTCGGAAAGCTAATCTATATAATTTTTATAGATGCGTAATATTGCAGTAAAAATGACAACGTGAATGTAAAATGATCAGCAATGCATCATTAAAAGTGTTTCGTGATGAGAGACCAAAGAGGAAAACAAGATTAGGGAACATTTTAGAGGAACATCAGATATATCTATAAATTTAATTTAAAAATATCTGACACTGGGGGCCGTCCAGGTGGTGCAAGCGGTTAAGTGCCCGTGCTCTGCTGCGGTGGCCCGGGGTTCGCCGGTTTGGATCCCGGGCGCCCAGCGACTCACACTTGTCAAGCCATGCTGTGGTGGCGTCCCATGTAAAATAGAAGAAGATGGGCATGGATGTTAGCCCAGGGCCAGTCTTCTTCACACACACAAAAAAATATCTGACACAAATAGGGCACGATGTTAAAATTTCATCAAGTTCGATGATGTGTACACAAGTGTTTATCATATCGTTTTGTATTCTTTCTGAATGTTTGAAATATTTTACAATAAAAGAAACAAAATGTATTATATATTTTTCGAAATCTTTGTGATGTATATAATTAACAATGCAGCGAATATTAGTTATATAATAATATTTATTATATTAATAACAAATGTTATTAAATGGTGAGAACAAATAGAAGAAACTTTGTTCAGCAGGCCAGGATAAAAAAAAAAAGCCATCTTCTGGATCTTCTTACAGACCTCAGTTTAGTCACAGTTATTTACATAATGCCAAACACAGACAACACAGTTGGAGATACACACAGCACATACACACAAAGCTGTTTCTATTAGGATGAGCATATACTGAGAGAGAAATTGTCAACTCATAGAGCCCAGGTTACACGACGTGTTTGGATTTGTGATTTGTTTGGAGAATCTTCCTTTGTATGTGAGGAGTGCACACGGACAATACTACGAGGCATTGCAGTGCGTGCTGGTAATGAAATAACTTTGATAGAATTCCCAGATTGCTGTATATCCTGACTTTCACTGGCAGATTTATGAATGATGGTCAGGCAGGCACAACTATTGATGGACTGCTTGTGCTGTAGGAGGGAGAGGATTCCTGGGGAAAAGAGAAGCCAGAAGAGAGCAATGAAGAAACAGTGGAGAGCCACAGAAGCATTTCTCTCCATGTTGTCTCCTGGCCTGAAGTCCAGTGGACTGCCCTTCAGGAGGGAGATGCTTTACTGGAAGAGACTGGAAGTGTGTATAAGCTAGCTTAATTCCTGCTCAACTCAACAAAACTGAGGATTCTTTTTGAAAGAGGACACGCTTCTGAGTTAGGACGTGCAATTTCAAATGAAATTTTGAAGACCTCTTAGGAAAGGAGGGTCTCCGGTGTTGATGGGTGGCCATTTAGCATCAGATATCGCTTCTCTCTGACCTCAAACTGCCTTGGCCCTACACTGCACACTCAGGATTACTGCCCCCCTTGAACACTCCATATCAGCCACTCTCCTTAGTCGTGACTTTGATGGTTATCTCTGTCCTGAAGCGGGAGGGTGTGAAAGACAGTAGAACAGGCAGAAATAAGGAGCTGTCCTCTGCAGCAAGCATATTGAACATTTCACATAGCCTTAATCTCTACCTTTATCCTTGCAGGAACTGTCCTTAGAGAGTGAGTCTACTTCAATTTTAGCCTTTCAAAATGCAGGGGTTGGCATCTTTCCCCCCATTCCTCTTTTCCATCCTTTCACTCTCCCCTCTATCAGGATTGGATTGGTTCTTATCACCTGTCAAGGGCCCTGAAGACACTCACCACAGGCAATGAAGACGAAAACATTTAAGTAGGCAGTGAAGATGATCCAGGTGATCTTGTAACTAGCGTAGTACACGGATTGACCTTGCCTTAGCTTTTGGTGATACAGTAGGAGTGCACAGAGCAGAAGGATACCTAATGTCCAGACAAAAGGAGAAAAGGTCCCTTCTGAGAAACTTTGGTTCTTCTATTCAAGCCTTAACCCCAGATATGCCTGACTTCCCAACCTCCACCCTGTACAATTGCACCTTGTTCAAAGACCAATCCCACTTCCATGGTAGATCCAATTCACAAGTTGTATATCTGAGCCAAAGAATTGGGAAGGCTGAGTTAGGCAGACCCACAGCCTGGACCCACAAACCAAGTATACCTCCAAGAGTGTATTAGGCGTTCCAAGAAGTTACCTGTAAGGAAACTGAGGAAGACAATGATGAAGAGGGTATGTTTAGTTTGAGGAATCAGATAGGTGAATTCCAAACCCAGGAACAAGTTATGGAAGAAGGAAAGGCTGAGGACCAAAATCAGCATAATCCTGACCACTTCCAGGTCATCTGTTGGAAAGTAGAAACTGTATTGAGAGAAGGACAGATATTTCTTCTAGGGTCATTTCCACCTGAGGGCCACAAATCTCTAAGAAAAAAATGGGAATAGGGTGAAAAATGTGATTAAATAATAAAGAGGGAAGGAAGGAAAGAATAAAGAGGCAGGGAACCTTAAGCTGAATGTGAGAGAGAACCAGAAGAAACTGTTTTCTATATTGGTGTCTCTGTTCTTTCTCTTCTGTTCTTTTCTCAGAACTTATTTCTTGTTAAATACTCCAGTTCATCCTGTCCACCTCTAGGGGCAGTACAACCTACTTTTCTTGCTGCCAGTTACCTTTTTTTTAATACCCTCATGTTCTAGATGTGCTGGCCCTCTGCTGCTATTGCCAAAGCATCTCAACTGTCCAGCAATTGAGTCTGTGAGCTTCTAAACTTTTCTCCAAAACATGCAAATGGTGAGATTTTGGAGTCGGCCTTGACTATGTTGATTATGGAAGTAGGCACACTGCAGCCTGAGGAAGTTGTACCAGAGAATAGTGGGTAATTTGGTGAGATGAATGGAAGTCAAGGAAAAATGAACCTTCCCTCTCCACCCGTCTCTGTCTGTTGTATAATTCTGACCTTCTGGCCAAATAGTAGTGGAAGATATCCATGGACTGTGGCTTATTGTATTTTTTTTTGTTTCCAACTTTAGTTCAACCCATTCTTCTATGATGATTCCTACCGCCAAGAAGACTAAGGCCCAGGAGGAGAAGAACATGTTGATGGCCTGGATATTTCTGGTTGACATATGCACCATTGTGAGTGGGGATTTCAAACTGAGATCACCACCAATATCTCACATGTGTCTTCTCTGATTTGATTAGTCACAGGAGGAAGGGCAAAATCTAGACTTTTAGCAATTGCTGAGGCATTGGCAGTGGCAGAAGCTGAAGTAGCCTATGGAACAGAGAAAATAAATCCCACTCTTCGCCACTCCTGTATCTGGGCTGACCTGCTAACAGGGCTGCCAACTGCCATGGAATCATCTATTGGTTTGACCCTTGACCCTGAGGCCTAGAGCAGTGGAAGGATCAAGGGGCCCAGAGGTCCTGAGAAAGCTATCAGATATAGAGGGAGATATGGTATCACATGTAGAGAGAGTTATCAGACATAGGGATAACTAGAGGCCTTGAAAGAAGTTAGACATGCATGACTAAAGAGGGCCTATTTTATTATTTTTTTTTCTAGATCCCTTAGAGAGATTTGCCTTTTAAAATATAGAAAGCCTATTAATGTGAATGAAGCACTATTTTGCAATGTGAAGAAGGCCTGTAGTCACATCTGCCCTCCGGCTGGAAATGAGACCTTCTTTGAAGTCAACTTCTGTAAACCGGCCCTAGCTCTTTTCTGCCTCCATTTCTGAGCCCCAAGTTGTCTAAGAATGCCATTTGTCCCTTGGTGGGTCCCTGGGGTGGCTCTGGGCCCCGCAGAAGATGATAGAGGAGGGCATAAATGATAGTAGCTGTTCTCTTATGTGAGTCAGTGATCTTTTAACCAATTTGAGTTAATTAAAATTATATGTTTCAGATTAGTTGATATTAGGTAGGGATCAGGGAAGATAAGAAGGAATTCAAGATCATTGAAATAAGTAGTCAGATAGCTTGCATCACAAAAGGCAATGACCATTAAAAATTTAGGATGTTTTGGAGAAACTTGGGTCCTCATTTGGTGAGCTTAAAGAAGTTTAATTAGGCAGGCATCTAAGAAATAGACTAGCACCTTGAAACCAAAAGAACTGACCTGATACACTGGACCACTGCAGTTTAATATAATTTATAAGGCACAGACAATTATTTCTTGTCAAAGTTGCCTTTGTAACTTGGCAGAGAAAACATTTTCAGATTCCTTGAGTAGGTAACCATGGTATGCACTAAGCTCAAAGTCAGAGGACATGTACTGAAATCCAGTAGAAAGCTTTACTGAACTAAGATGAAACTCATCTCCAAAGCCCTCTGTATGCCTATTTCTTTAACTTTACTGCAGGCCCCTGGATTTCTTTTATTGCCTCAAACATGCTATGCTGTTTCTCTTCCAGACCTCTGTACACATCCCGTTATATTTTATCTTTTTGATTTTTCAAAACAATGCTCAATATATTTAATCTTACAAGGGAGATTTTGTGATTAAGAAACTAGATTCAGGATCCTGGCTTTAAATCCTGGCTCTACTACTGAGCAGCATCATGGTCTTAGAAACAATAATGCTTCCTACTACATAAGGATTTTGTAAAGATTAAATGAGTTTGGAGATGTAAAGCACTTAAAAGAGTTCTTGGCACATAACAAATGGTATACAAGCAATTACTGTAGTATCAATTTGAATTCCCTGGAAGGAGACTCTAAGGCAGAGGTTTGTATGTGCGAGTTTATTGGGGAGTACATCCCGCCAGGAAACCACACGTGTTAAGTGTTTGAGGGAAGCAGGTTTGGGCAGAAGTTGAACTGAGATTTAGTTGCAACAGAAGAAACATTAGCCAACCCCACCAGGAGCACTGGATCTGAGATAGTCCCTCGGAGTCTTCCTGAATGGAGCAAGAGAGCTCAGTTTGTCATGGAATGCAAGCTGCCCTTGGGGTGGTATTTCCCTTCTGTCTCAAGGGAGATTCTTATATCTCTCCAGAACTGCAAGCTTCAGCAGTCAACATTTGTGGTAGCTACGGGAATGAGCTCCCATTCTTTATCACTTGCTGTTAGGGCTGCCAACTGCTGTGGAATCATTTATCTGTTTGACCCTTGACCCTTGGGGACAAGTGTAGCGGAAGGACCAAGAGGGTAATAGGCAGCACACCACGACAACATGTGTTATTACATTCTTACATATTGATGCATTTATTTCTATGCAATAGACCCTTAGGAGTAGGATTCCTGGGCTGAAAGATTTATGTCTCTTTTAAATTTTCGTACATAACGACAGTAAAGATATAATGATGTAGCCAGATTAGAGAAACTGATAGGATGTGAGGGATTAGTGGGATACAGGTCAAAGATGAAATCATGTTTCCAGCTAAGGAGGATAGTAGTCAATGATGCTATTAACTAAAACATAAAACATGGGAGGAAGCATAAGCCTGGTAAGGAAGAAGTTAGTAAGTTCTGGTTTGGGTTAAGTTTAAGATGTCTACAGGATGTACAATAGACAGAATTTAGTTCTGGAACTTAATAATAGATTAGAGGTTATCAGCCTAAGGATGGCAGTTGAAACATAGGTGTGCATGTCACCATGTAAGGATACCACATGGTATGTCACCACATGCAAAGAAGGAAATTCTGGAGAACATCTATACTCAGGAGAAAGAACAACAAGAAATAGAGAGAAGGTAGAGAAATGTTGCTGAGGAATTAAAAAGAGGATAGAGTTTTGAGGAGAGATCGGGTGATAGCATCTAACGCTGCAGAGAAATCAAATGAGGTGGGAGCTGAACATATATCACTTAGACAATCAGAATGTCGCTAGTGATTTTGGTCATAGCAGTTTCAGCAGAATGATGGGAGAAGTAGAAGAGAGAGTTTTATTTTTTTTTTAAACAGGCAACTAGATTAAATAAATAACAAGAGAAAAAGAAAAGTAGAATTGCAGCTTCAAGGGAGAAATGTGCAAAATAAAAAAAGTAGAGACCAGTGTAATGATTCCCATGTATCCTTCATCCAGCTTCAATGACCATTCCCTGAATTATTCTGAAACAGTCCAAATTTCATCTTTAAATATTTGTTTGTGTTATTAAAAGATAAGAATTGATTTTTTTCCCCATAGATTTATAGTCTTTCTCTCTCTTTTTCTTCTTAATCTGGTTTATCAGAAGGTTACCCATTTTGTCAGTCTTTTCAAGATCTCTTTATGCATTTATCCATTTGAAAATATTTTTAATATATTTCACTATTTTAAGCTTTTACCTCATTATTTTCCTTTTCCTACTAATTTTTTTTTTTTTGCTTTTATCCCCTGAATTTCTTAAAATAGTTTAAAATTCTTCTTTAATATGCCAGGCTTTGGACAATATATATTTTCCCTGTACATTAAGTTTGCTGTGTCTCATACATTTTTTCTACATTTTTGTTTTGTTTTTTTAATTTTTTAATTTTTGTTTGCTTTTTTTTTGCTTGTTTATTGCAGTAACATTGGTTTAAAACATTGTATAAATTTCAGGTGTGCATCATTATACTTCTATTTCTGCATAGATTACATCATGTTCACCACCCAAATACTAATTACAACCCATCACCACACACATGTGCCTAATTATCTCTTTTGCCTTCCCACCCCCACCTTCCCTTCTGGTAACCACCAATCCAATCTCTGTCTCTATGTGTTTGTTTGTTGTTGTTTTAATCTTCTATTTATGAGTGAGCTCATAGGTTTTTGACTCTCTCCAACTTATTTCACTTAGCATAATACCCTCAAGGTTCATCCATGTTGTCACAAATGGCAAGATTTCATTTTTTTTTTTTATAGCTGAGTAGTATTCCATTGTGTATATATACCACATCTTCTTTATCCATTCATCCCTTGATGGGCGCCTATGTTGCTTCCAAGTCTTGGCTATGGTGAATAACGCTGCAATGAACATAGGGATATATATGTCTTTACGCATTGGTGTTTTCATATTCTTTGTATAAATACCCAGCAGTAGAATAGCTAGATGGGATGGTAGTTCTATTCTTAATTTTTTGAGGAACCTCCAGACTATTTTCCATAGTGACTGCACCAGTTTGCATTCCCACCAGCAGTGTATGAGAGTTCCGTTTTCTCCACATCCTCTCCAACACTTGTTATTTCTTGCCTTGTTAATTATAGCCATTCTGAGGGGCATGAGGTGATATCTCACTGTAGTTTTGATTTGCATTTCCCTAATAATTAGTGATGTTGAATATTTTTTCATGTGCCGATTGGGCATCTGAAGATTTTCTTTGGAGAAATGTCTGTTCAGATCTTTTGCCCATTTTTTCATTGGGGTGTTAGCTTTTTGGTGTTGAGATGTATGGGTTCTTTATATATTTTGGGTATTAACCCCTTCTCAGATATATGGTTTGCAAATATTTTCTCCCATAGATGTTCTCTTTCAAGTTGAGGAAGAGTCCCTTTATTCTATGAGGAAGAGTGCTGAGAGTTTTTGTCATGAATGAGTGTTGGATTTTGTCAACTGCTTTTTCTGCATCTATTGATATGAGTATGTGGTTTTTCCTTTTTAGTTTTAATGTGATGATCTACATTAATTATTTTTGAATGTTGAACCAGGCTTACCTACCTGGGGCAAATGCCAATTGGTCATGATGTATAATTCTTTTTATACATTGCTGGATACGATTTGTTAATATTTTGTTAAGGATTTTTTCATCTATGTCCATGAGGGATATTGGTTTGTAGTTTTCTTTTCTTGTAATCTCTTTGTCTGGTCTTGGTATTAGGGTAATGCTTGCCTCATTGAGTTAGAAAATATTCCTTTTGCTTCAACCTCTGAAAGAGAGTGTAGAAAATTAGTATAATTTCTTTCTTAAAATGGTTTAGTAGAATTCATCAGTAAACCCATCTTATCCTGGTACTTTTGATTTTGGAATGATATTAACTATTGGCTCAATTTCTTTCATAGATAAAGGCCTATTCAGATTATCTATTTCTTTTTGGGTGAGTTTTGGGTTTGTACTTTCAAGGGATCAACCCATTTCACCTAGGTTATCAAATTTGTGGACATAGAGTTGTTAATAGTATTCCTTTACTATTGCCTTAACTTTCATGGAATTTATAGCAATGTTCCCTCTTTCATTTCTGATATTAGTAATTTGTATTCTCTCTCTTTTTTTCTTAGTTAGCCTGGTTAGAGGCTTATCAATTTTATTAATCTTTTCAAAGAATCAGCTTTTGGTTTTGTTGATTTTTCTCTATTGATTTCCTGTTTCTGATTTCATTGATTTCTGCTCTACTTCTTATAAATTTTTTTATTTTACTAAGTTTGGGTATGATTTTCTCT